TAGTTAAGCAAGATGAAAGTTAAAACAACAACATAAATTCCCATCTATCAAAACTAACAATCCATAAAAGAACACATTAAACAAAATAAACAATAAAAAGTTCAAAACATGTAACATAAGTATATGAATTATAGAACTTAATATCTCATTCGTACATAAAAGATTGCCCCAAAATCTTGATCCAGCTCTCTGGTTCGCTCCAGTTCTCTAGTTTGGTCTGGTTTTGCACCCATAATCGGAAACCGCACCAGAACGGTGGGATAGGATCCGTCAAGTTCGGTTCTTGTTTCGCGGTCTACCTTGAACCGATGCTCACCCTTACCATGGACTATCCCTTAACGCATACACCCATACTTCAAAACATGAACACCACAGCCAGACTTTGAGTATGATGAGACATCTCAATACGAACGATGCAAATCAAGCATTCCACGTTAGACTCTTGTTGGCTTCGACATATAGACACGTCAGCGTCAATTAATCGGATTTCTAGGACTTAGTAGACACATTAAAAGTTCAAATACTTGAATGGCAATCGATGAAGACGTGATAGCAGTAGCAGATGAGGTGATCATCCAAGAAAAAAAGAATGTCCAATGAATTTTGCAAACAAATGGCAGGCGAGACGTCATTTCACTTGTTACTGTTTCAAGCATTTTTTTCCCCTCTTTCCTTCTCATACGAAGGTTTGGTAAAATGATGTAATCTTAAACCATCCGAAAGATGTAGGAAGATGAATGATTCAAACTCACGAATCATGATGTATAAATAATTGGGTAAAAGGAATTGGTGGAATTTGGCCAATAAAAAAAAAGAAAAAGACGCAGAAGAAATCAAATAAACGATCGTGTCGTAGGTAAGATATCATGACAGTGACATTATAAATGACTACGCAATCCTAAAGTTCAAATAACTTAAACACGATACGATATCTTAACATAGAACGAGTAAAGTTATGAACAGTAATTTCATCTAGGTAGGATGGATAACATTTTATCCATGTTGTCATTTGCCGATTGAATATTTTGATTTCATTCTCTCTTTTTGCTCATTCCCCAAATCAATGCAACGTGATCGACCTTCCAAACCAAAAAGTAATTAAAGAAAAAGTCAACCTTCGGGGCCTCCTAATGCGCTTTACCTAGTAACCATTGTTTAGTAAGAACCAATGAAAATTCTCGTACATGTTGCATGATTTGCGCGTGGTGGATTGAAATTGTCGTTAGCTCATACAGTACCCAAAAGAGAGCAGTTGTGTGCACAACTTAATTAGGGCTAAACCCATTCGTCATGACCTCTACCATAATTCAAAAGTTGCAAACGGGTCCGGTCCAACCTGGTAATTATCATTACATTTAATTGGTCCATAACAAAGCGAGATAAGAAAATCATTTCGGACGAAAGTGGTAAATTTAGGGAAAGTACGACGGTTCCCACTTTCAATTTATTTGTTTCAAGAAGCGTGATCACCAATTTGATATAACATAAGCTGCTTTGACTTCGATTTGAAACATTTCGACTTGGATAAAGGCGGCCCATCATCACAAGTTTTTCATGTTCGTCCATATTTCAGATGGACCCGATCATTTGCGTGCATTATTGTTAAGAACAAAAATGGGAATTCGCTCGTTCTTTCTTCTTGTTTCTTTGATTGATCAACTCTAGCAGGATCTACTCCTCGCCAACTGACCAATTAACACGGCGTCGTGACCGTATGCTCAAAGTGTGTCCCTGCGATCTCTTCAAGGCCTGGATTTTTCGTGGAGGATAGGGCGACGACTTTGGCAGAACCAAATCTAGCTCAGATGAAAATGACGGAGATATATTTGGCTCGTCTCCGTCAAAGCTGACCAAGCCACTGGCTCTGCCGCAACGACCAATCCGTTAAGAAGGTTGTGAGAGAGTGAGAGAGAGTATCGAGGGCTGAGAGAGGGATAGAAATTGGCAACAAGTTGGGGGGTGGCGACTTGGCGGGTGTAGGTGGTGGCAGCAGCACGGTGGGCGGAGGCGGCGAGGAGACCCTTGCAGGTCAAGGGTCGGGCGGCAGAGGGTTGAGAGAGAGGTGGGGATTGGGTGAGGGTACTTTTTTGGGGGTTAGACTTATTTGTAAGTTGTTCTTGAATACGTGAATGAAATGCAACACGCCTTAGCGGCAGAGCATATAACGTCATTCATTGTTTTTGAATATTGCAGAAAGCCCACTTGTTTAGAAGATGACATAAAATGTAGCACATAACTCAATATATCAATTTTTTTGCATATAAGTTTGAATAGATGTAAAGTTAGTATTTTCCATTTCATCTAGATTTTTATCGCCTAGTAGTAATGCTGATAGCAATGACGAGCAGAAAAACTTGCATAAGGAGTACGGGATAAGCAAAAAAATAAAAAAACTTGCAATATGCTAGCATAAAGAGCAAGACATTGAAATTTTGAACTTACTTTTGTGAAATTTATCATCCATGTATTGAAAACATTGTACCAACTATTCAGCATCGTTGTTGTGGAGAGAGAAACTCTAATTACCCTGTAGTTACTCTTCTACAATTTTTAAAGGCATTGGTGTTTGTCGTTCAATAAAATTATAGGACGATTTTAGTGTTGCTATAACGATCTGACCCATTTCACATGGCCTGAGTCTGCAAAAGCAAAACTATGAGTGACTACACCGAGTGGTGACCATTTGGGGTTGATGGTAGCTTATGATTAACTCAATAGGGCATATTCAAACCGACATGGGACTTGAAACATTACAAACTCCCCCACTTTCAAGAATCGACATCATCTTCAATGTTGGCCCGCCAATGAACTTTTCCAATTTGATATTTGGTTATGTTCATTTCTACCTCCTCCACTATTCTAGATGTTTGCCGGGACCCACACCTTATTTGGGCTCTCTTGCCCATGCGATTACTCCTTGCCCTCTTTAGATCAGGTCTGGGCCTAATTCGTCCACGAACCACGTATCTATTTGAGAGGGTCATATTCTCATACCATTCATAACGATCCAATCCGATCCATGTGGACCAAGTTCCCAAAAAAATTAGTCGAAGTAGACCCTTTGGAGGTGGGTGTTGACTTACGAGTCCTTAATAGAACATCTTTCAACCACCCTAAGATTTGAATGTCATAGTTGCACTTCCAGACTAAGGAAAGAATTTTTCTTGATGGTAAATTACTATTAAAGTTGATAAGTTTCAACTGATCTAGGTGAAAAATAGTAGTCCGTAAATTGTTTGTTTGACACTTGTCACTAAAAGTTACCAACTTTTATTGGAAATTACCGATGTTTATGATTTTGTTTAAAAATTTTCCAACTCTTTTAATGAACTACGGACTATAATTTGCGTACCTTAGCAATGTTTCAAATTTGTCAACTCCAAGAAATTATCAACCTATGCTTATTAACCAACTTTTCTCTGATAAATTTACCAACTAATTTTCGGTTATCAATTTTCATTTGATTTTTTTTTGGTCAAACTCATTTGGTTCACTTACCGGTTATTTGTTTGCTTGAAAACTACTATATTTTTCAATAAATTACCAACTCTCATTTGCATGACTTATCATAATTTCTACCCTTTATTTTATTCTTTATCATATTCTCTCTAATTAAATTACTAACTAATTTTAGATTATTGTTATTGTGTTCCAATAAAACACAGGTGAACCTTGCTAAGAGGACAGTACCGTTGTTTTCCATTGACAACGGTGCAATTGTGACCAAATATTAGTTCCATAAGCCCCGGGCAACCGGTTGAATTTGTGAAGGAATTTAAATATAAATTTTATAATATACACATAACATATTTACTTCAACAGTGGAAGCTAAAAGGGAAAAAAAAAAAATTACGGGGCAAGTAATCTCTATGCTTCGACCAAAAAAGAAAAATCTATGCACGGGTAATTCTTACATTTTTTTTCAATTTATTCAATTTTGTTAATGTAATTCCCAATGTTCTAAACAATATGTTTTTCTTTTTATTAAGTTTGTTATAATGTTAATATAGTAAATGAAAATACTGATGGAGTCGATAGTCACGGTTAAATGGTGATGTGGTGTTGATGTGGCTCCTGTATGGCTTTCCAAAATTTTAAAAATTTTAAAATAGATAAAATATAAATAAAAATATAAAAACGTATTGAGTTTAAAAAGAAAAAAACAAAAAGTGAGAGGCACGCCAACCTAGCAAGCACCAAGGCCACTTGTAGGGCCAGTGCCCATAGACTGGTGGTGGCTAGGGTTGCGACGACCTAGGCAATGATTGTCGGTGTAGCACAACCCAAGGCTAGCCAGATCTCGCCAGGTAGAAGTGAGCGGTTCGAGGATCGATTTAGGTTCCATCTGAAACTTGTAATCTACTCATTGAAATTGATTTTCATATTTTTGAAACTTGAAACGTACTCTACATACTCAAAATCGATTCCCATATTTTTTAAACCTATCACAAGTTTCAGGGTCGATTTCAAGGTCTATTCAGGTTTTACCTGTATTCTTAATTGAACAATTGCAATGAATCATCAAATCTAATGACCACTATCTATTATTGCAATCCACTGACCACAACTCACATTTAGACAATGAAGAATATTAAACATTAACAAAGTTAAAATCTCAGTTATGGATATTGTTGGATATAGAAGATCAGATTAGTGGTTTCAAATTACACACATCATCGGACGTCATAGAATACTGCAGAATTACGTGAAGACATATAACAAGAAAAACACAAAGCCTTGCCTAGAACTTGGAATACTCGTCGAAATCGGTTCCTCTATTTTTAGAATTTGGAACCCACTCTGCATATCTTGAAACTTGAAACCTCCACCGGTCTGATTCTCCAATTCTCAGTTTTACCCTAGAGTCATGCTCACCCCTATCGCTAGGGGTGACCCAAGCCACACTGTAATGCCGCAAAATATCACGCGCGACACATGATCCTTTGTTAGAACTTTTATTATTAGGTGTGCGGAAGCACGAAATTAATGTAAAACTGGGGAATCCACAACTCTGTCCCCTAGAAGAAGAAAAAAATTGAGGGGTACAATCCCTATAGATTCACTTTTTTTTACTCGACACGACTTGTCTCTTATACAAAGAAACATAAGAAGAACAAATTTATTTTTATATTTTAATTTTCTAACACTTGATGAGTAAGTCATCCGGTTCTCAGCAAATTATTTTGTGGCTATGGTGGGTCGGTTGCTGGCGATAAGAGTAACGGACCGTCACCCTCTCATTGTTCAAAACACTTATGATCGTCTTCAAATTACTGACTTTCGTAACAGTTTCAAAGTCATGCGAAACAGTATTGTGAAGACATGGGTATAGTGGCCACATCAGGTAGTTCTTTATGCTTAGCATGCCAAAGCACTGCTGTGGCTCGTCGTATCGGTGAACAATCGACCCCATGCTCGAGGCTTGTTGTTGCCCTCTACTCGGACCGTCCGTTCTACCATCAAGCCAAAGCGGCCCGACGGATCAGAAACTTCCCAAGTATACTCGATCCTTTTGTTTGACGCCATCTTTTGTTCCTCCAAGTAGGAGAACATGTCACTGAGCTCGTCCATTGAAATACTGTCGAAGCTCTTGCCTTGATCACGATTGATTTGGTACAACAAGTGGTCCACTTTCAAGATGGGTATGAAGAGAGCAAATTGGAGGGTATACAAGGAGAGTGCTTCCAAACCCTGGCGTGCAATTTCAGTATCTCAGTCGCCTTTTCTTTGATCTTCCTCCCACAGTCCCCTTGCAGAACCAAACACAGCTTCGAGGCAACGCCCAACTGCAACATCTCTTTCGCCACGCTTGCCGTTGCCGAGAACTTGGAGACAGAGAGCAGAATTCGAACCGCCCTCTCGCTAGCCACATGCGAAACCCTAAGTATCTTCTTCGACAAGACTGCGATGCCCGCTCCGTGCCTTAGCAACTCCGATCTCCCCTCGGCCCATTGACATAGCATCTCCAACAACATGAACATTAATTCGCAGGTCCTGCGGTCAGAACAATCAAGAAGCAGCTCGATCAATACAGAGACTGCCCTGGACTCGACGGCTTTGATCCTGTTTCGGCCCCAAGGGCATAAGTTTATCAGTAGCTTCAGCGTGGCCTTGGTGGCCTGCTGAGAAATCTGGTCGTGCAGGACTTGGACTGCCACGGTGAAGAACTCCTGCCTCAACGTGATGATCTGCATCGGCTCGGCGACCTCGAACATTGACTTGAGCAGCAGCACCGCATACGCCCTCGACTTGTAAGGCCTGTTCTGCATGATGTGTGTGAGCGACTCAGTAAACTCACTATCCTTGGCCACAAGGCTCTTTAGGCTCGGCTCGGAGAGCTGGAGATTGTAGAGGATGCACAGCGCATCATCTCTCGGTTTCTTGATGTCGAGCAGTGACCCATCTTCTGATGCTGACGACTGATCTTGTGAGGTGGTTTTTATCACCGAGGCCAGGAACTCGATGGCACCGGCAGCTTCCATGCAACGCTTGGCCGAAGTATTACCAGAAGCGATAGATCTCAGCTGCCTAAGACACTTCTGCTGGAGCTGAGGCTTCTCGGCATCTCGCAGGATCTCAGTGATCTGGGCTTTGCTGATGGGAGCCCTGGGGGTTGGGATTCGCTCGATGCCGTTCGACGAGTTGAGGGTGCACCACGATTGGATTAGGCGGCGGAGGGTGTGGTTCGGGGTCAGGTCTGCATCGGAGATCAGCTGTTTGGTGACGGGGCACAAGCTTTTTTTGGACGTGGACAGCCATGTCTCGATGCTCTCTCGGTCATAGGTTATCCCCGTTGAGACGGTGACCGGATCTCTCATGATCTCCAGCGAGATGGGGCAGAGGAAGAATGGAGGCACTTCCACTTCATTGTTGTCCATTCCCTCGTGGCACGATGTGGCCGGATCGATGAGCTGATGATGCAATCTCGATGCCGGCTCCAAGTGCAATCGAGTGTGATGATTGATGAACTCTTGTGATGAGAGAGGAGATAAGTGATAGCTGAGAAGATTGTGAATTTGTTTGGAGTGGCTTCGTTATATATATCAAGATGGAAGGTCAGGCAATTCAAAACGAGGAAAGTCAAAACAAAACACGGGAATCAAACGTTTAGAGAGAGAGAGAGAGAGAGAGAGAGAGAGAGACTTTTCAACGGCATTGAAAGGCTCAAGAACGGCCAACTCTTAATTACCTGGTCGTGAATGAACAAGAGGGCAAAGTGCAGCAAATGGGCGACGAGAGAGAAGGAAGGGAGGAAAGCAACGTGCATGCTACCTCTTCCCTTTGACTTGCTCTCTCTGGAACTATTGCATGGCCGTGCGCCTCGTGTTCTTTATATTTTTATTTTTATTTGGTCAGAGTTCTTTATCTTTTGACATTACATAATTCTGAGATATGCTTACCGACAAAATCAAGTAGAGACGCCGTCGGATGTGTGCAGTGTTCGTTCTTTTTTATGTTCGTTGGCTTTAGCACGGTGTTGTTGCTCCTTCAACCCTTCTCAGAGTTGACCCAACAAAAGTCGAAAATGTCAACGCTGAACTGGTGAACATGCTTCGAATATTCTGGGTCAAAGGATCGGATCGATTCCAGAAACATTTGATGTTGCCTCGTGATTGATAAAGTTCAACCCTAGCAAGATACGTCCCTCATACAACTCCGATGTTTCTTCTAGCCAACAATGTACAATTCAAAGTTCGAGACGTGCAAATTAAAACTTTTCCGAGATGTCTACTGATTTTCTTTCTCTTTTGATTGTCAATGTAAAATCGCGTCTTACAACTTCACGCGAAAAGTACATGGGCGGATCTTTAACGATGAACGAAGGTGCAGCTTTTTCTCCGAGCCTTCGATGTTCCAAATTGTATCATCGACATGAAAAACATGTGATCTCCTTGCTTCATTAGAATGTTATTTCTATGGCGGCTCCTAGAATCATCAGGTAAATACCTAACTAGAGATTAATTGCTGACTTGAGAAGGCGAGAGACCTGAATTTATTCCCCGTTCTTTGTGTAAACAGAAAAGTTGGGAGTGGAAGTAATTAATTAGGGAAGGCGATCGATAACATACATATTTATATTGCGCACTTCTAGTGCATACTAGTGAGTAACAATTAAAAAAAAAGAAAAGGAAGAAAGAAAGAAAGCTGCAGACAACTCCTTTGTCCTTTTAAATATTGACCATGCTTCGTTTTTCACTTAAAAAGCACAAATGACAAATAAGTTATTGAAAGCTAATAAAAATCCGAATCATTCCACGTAGATCAAGCCCTAAAACTCTACGTGACTACACAATATAGTAACAATTTTGGGGGTAGCTGTTGATTTATGAATCGATCACTTGACAAGGTCTCTTCCCAACTAATACAGGGTTTAAAAATGTCATGAACTTTCAAATTTAAAGAATTGTCTCGTTAGTATTGACCCCTATTGCTTGGCGATACTCCCCATATTTGATGTATTATCCAGTCCATTCATACTCCTCTATCATTCTAGATGCCTAGAAGAAACTGTACCTTGCCCGAGCCCTCTCACTCTAATGATTGCCCTCCTCTCCCTCATCGACCAGGTATAGGCCAAGTCTGTACAAAAACCACACATGCATTTACTAGAGGAGATGCTATTCTGATACCATTTATAACAACTTAGTTCAATCCACATGGGCCAAGCCCCCAAGGGATACTTGGAATAACACACAAGGTGGTGGATCATTCCCAAATATTGTAGGACTTGGGATGTCGTATATTGATTTTAAATCATTCGAAATATAATGTATGCATTGTTAATACAAAAATATCATATGCTATAGAAAAATGACCCCTGTATTTCTGTTTGGGTTTGAATAGAACATGTGGTTCCTACTTACTACCAAGACACCAAGCTATTCGCTAATTCGATATTCCAATATTTTCCTCTCACTCACTACATTTGATGCATATTCCATCGGAGTTTTCATGTCAGTCCATTTTCTTACATCCTATACTATTCACCCAAAACATAATTTCCATGGTCGGCTATCATGGTCGACTCTTTTTTTTTTGTGGCCATTATTTGATCAACCCCTAACGTTCATGATGCAAACTTGAAATTCTAGCAAGTACAATGAAGAATCGGCAATTCTTTTCCTTGATTGGCCAAGTTATAAGGTCATGAAATTAATTAAGAAGTACAGCGTACCTTTATGAATCATGACCATCTTGCACATGGTCATGTCGGTGTTGCCCTTGTACTTGTGAGGACCAAACAATCCCACATATGGTCAGATTAGGAGAGAGGGTTGACCAAATTTAGGTTGTCTTCGTTAATTACAGGTTACGTGCCGAAATAGGAAGCACTAGTCCAAGATGGCACTAAGAAATGTCATCTCCACGTGATCCTGATCCGAGATGAACGAGGATGACGATGCCATTCTTCCCAATTTCAGTAGGCAATTCTGACTTGTGGGAATTCACTTATTCGGAGCAAACTTAGGTCATTAAACTACCCCTACTCTCGTATAAAGTTTATGAATGAATGAATTCTCAAAAAAGAATTTTATTCAATAGATATTTGCTTAGAGATCTCGGATCGAATCGATATCTATTTACCAATTCGATTCTAGCTCTTAGAATTGGAATGATATTGGCAACATATCGCAATCTTCTCTATCTAGTGAACGGAGAGCCCCCTTTGAAATCGTCTACCTTGCATCCACTCTCTCGCTATATGCTTCAACAAGAATTACACAAAAGCAGATTCATAAAAGATAAACCTCTCGTAAATTGCCCGCCCAACCTCATGAGAAAAACATGCTATTTTATCCAGAACAATTTATCCACAGATATATAAAAAGGGTGTACCATGTCATCTCTCGTCGAAAGTAATTCCACTCTTTTACTATTTTTGTCTCTACTTCTTCAATCACATATTCCTATAACATGTCTTTTTTCTTATATATGATGAAATCACGTGAAAAAAAAAGCACATCATATTCTATCGATTCGTTATAGATAATATAATGTAGCAACATAACTCAATTGCTAGTTACAGATTTTTCTATAACATCACTTACGAATATCCATTTTTGTGGCTCTTAGAGACATGCTCTTCTAATAATTGAGCATCGTAACGCCATTAGCAACCAATCAAGCTCTCTTATCTTGACATCCCGCCACCACAAAAGGAAGAGAGAGAGAGAAGAAGCAAAAGGATTCAAACTTACCCCACAAGCCACAATTGACACAACATTCCATTAATGGAAGAGTCAGAGCCACCACCAATTGGTGGGATGGTGATGACGGAGACGGTGACGCTGCCGGGGTTGGTGTCGGCTATGAATTGTCTAACGTGCTAAATCCATCTGTACGTGGGCATCCACTTTTGACTAGGTTTTTATAAACTGTCGATCCCACTCAGCTCTTCTGGACGGAGTTACATTGCAAGATACCAAAAAGCCGGTGTGAGGGCTAATTTGTTTTACGAAAAAAAACATGATTTAAAAATTTCATAAACTAAATAGGGTATCTTGTAAATTTAATTTTTAAACTAGTGCAAGTACAAAGTATATGTAAGGATATATTATGTAGTTGCGATTTTATGCTTTTTCATTGAAAAACAGGACATGTTAGGTGTAAGAATATCATTAGCACATATGATTTGCTCTCTAACCTATCTTGAATTGAATAAGAAAACAAGACAAATAAGATATTATCGGTTTGTAGTTTAGTAGTAAGGCTCTGTTTGTTTTGTGGAAAATATGTTTTTCATTTTTCGGTATTTGAATTGCTTAGGAAAATGAGTCAACCAAAAACTGAAACTAAAATTGAGGAAAATGATTCCTATTTAGAAAATTGGAAATTATTTTACAAATATATGACTAGATGTCTATGTTTGGATTAGAAACTTTGAACTTGGGCATAGAAACTCCAACGCTCATTTTCGGGCCCTTGGCAACAAAGCCTAGTCTGGAGACCAAGGTCGGGTCCATTGACGCAAAGGTCGAGGCCAAAGAGTCTGGGCCCCAAACCCCAGTGCCATAGCCCGGGTCCACAAAGGTTGGGCTCGGACACCAGCACCCGTGCCTGGATCCATAGAGGGCCTCAGACCCAATAGCCTTACCCAACTTCCTGATGCCCTGGCCCCAAGTTCATAGAGGCTGGGCTCGAAAATCTGGTGCTTGTGCCTATATCTCCAACGCTTGGGCCTAGGTCCATTGAGGCTAGCGCAGGTCCATAGAGGTTAGGCTGGAGGCCCTAGTGCCTGTGCCCCGAGCCCCTAGCGCTCAGGCCTCGATCCATGGAGGCCAAGCTTGGGTTTGCAAAGGCCTTGCTTGGGACCCTAAAGCCTGTGCCTGGATCCCCAACAATTAGGCTCCCTAGTGCCCGTGGTTGGGTCCCTGGTGCTCGGACTCGAGAACCCGATGCCCGTGCTCGAGCCAAGATCCATCAAGGCCAGGCTGAGGCACTAGGGTTCCGCGCTCGGCCTTGGTGGGCCCGAGCCAGGCTCGATGGAATCACGGTCAAGTGACGGGGGGCATGAGTACCAAGGCCTTGGGCTTGGACATTGTGGACCCAGGCCGGGGCACCAAGGAGCCGGGCACGGGCACCACGTTCTTTCCCTGGCTTCTATGGACTTGGGATCGGTGCCCATATTCTTTCCTGTGACTCATATGCTCGTTCCCGGTCCTCAACACCCAAGTCGGGGTCCATCGAAGCCGGACTCGGGAGCCCAGTGCCTGTGCCTAATTCTCCGGTTGCAGCGTATAAGTTACTAGCTTCTGAGTAGTATATATCTATTTTAGAAAATCAAATTAGATTTTCCTTTCAACGACAGAAAATACTTTCCATTTCTTTTTTAGATTTCAACCAAATACCGAAAAATATCATTTTCCTAAAAAATGACTTCTTGAAAAATATTTTCTAAAAATGAAACATTTTACGCGAAACAAATAGAGTCTAAGTTGTCGCTATACTTTTCGGACTTCATGTACCCTCGCTGAATTCGGTGAAATTGATAC